ATTAAGTCACAGATTTTAAAAGAACTTTGAATCTCAAGCAAATAACTACACAGAAATCTATTATAAGCACAAAGTACTAAAACTGTTAAAAATCAAACAAAAATATCTTAAGAGAGAAGAAAAAAGTCACAGTGTTCTCAATAGGACAAATATGAAACTTGAAGCTAATATGTCAACAGAAATAATGGAAGCTAGAGGAGAATAAAATCACATTTAAAAGAAAATAAATAACAATCTGAAATACTATATCCCACAAAATTCCCTATAGGCAAAGGGAATAGTTTAAAGACAAATAGAAAACAGAATTTGTAGGCTGAGGATTTAGCTCAGTGGTTCTGCCGCCTGCCTCGTAAGTGCAAGGACCTGAGTTCGATCCCCTGTACAAAAAACAAAACAAAACAAAACAAAACAAAAAATAGAATTTGTTAGCAGCAGATCTACATTAACGGAAATACTTAAGGGGTTTCAGAAGGCTGCAAATTATCCCTATTGAAAGCATTGTAGTGAAGGAAAAAAAGAAAGGTACAAACAAGGGAAATGGTGGAATTGAATGCATTTGCCAGTTAAAAATATTAGTAAATAACAATATCCTGTAAAGTTTTACATATATGTACAATAAAGATACATGAGAATAATATTCCAAAATGTCAGCAAAAGCTAAAAGGAATAAAAATGTAACATTCTAGACTGTCTGGAAAGTGGAAAAGTACTAATTGCTACAGCCTTTTTGAAGTAAATTACACTTACTGTAGCCTCTATGGAAGCTATTAAAAAAATAGAAGTAGTGTACAGCTAATAGTTAAGATAAAGATATGGAATATTTTACCAATCCAATGGGGGGCAATAAAGGAGGAAAAAAATTATATATGAGACAAATACAAAATAATAGTAACAGGTTTAAATGTAAATATAACAGTAATTACATTAAGTGACTAAAAGTCTAAAATTATCTAAGTGGAGTAATAAAATAATAAAATATCTGCCTATTAGAGACATAACTAAAAAGATAGGTTAAAAATTTTTGAAAAGGACAAAGGTATCTCACACAAACAGTAATCAGAAGAAAGCTGATATAATTGTACTACTTATAGATAAAATAGACATTATGGCAAGAGGCATTATTAGAGTTAAAGGTGATATTTCGTAATTGATTAAAGAGGATATTACCAGTTTTGACCTGTAGCTGACTTGGACAAGCTTTTTACAGCCACTGTGCATATCTTTTCCTCTTCAGTAATACCATATTTGTAGTTTGAAATTAATTCTGGTAGTATTATTTACACCATGGAAATGGCCAAATGCAACTAGATAGGGAGTATCTCTTCCTTTACTTCATTTACCACCATGCCACTTGACTGATTGAAAGCAACAAATTATATTTATAAAGCAAAAGGGAGGGAAACAAAAGGAGAAACAGGTATTAACACACCTCTGTCATGTAATACGACAAGCAGATTAAAAAACTCCCCAGTATAAATAAGGTAACAATTAGTGGCTTTTGCAATGAGTGGAAGGCTTGGGACTGAATCAAGTTTTCTGCTTGTAAGTCTAATATTCCTTCTGGTATGGCTTCATATTGCAGGAAATATTTGCAATATTTACCTTAAAAGCACCACTGTAATTTAAAAATGGGGGGGGGATCAAGGCATATTTGTTAATTACACATAGATCTGAACTTCAGTTTTGTAGTCTTTATACTTAGCATATATATTATGTAAAATATAAAAAATTATATTTATAAAATGAATTATGGTGTATAGCATGGCTTTAACACAGGTAAATAATTTTTGAAGAGATTCAGTACAACTTTCTTTGGTGATAAGTATCATGGAATGATTAAACCTTTAATGATGATTATGAAAGCAACAGTAGCAGCAAATGTATATACAATGGTTACTTTGTGGCAGGCAGTGTTTTAAGTATGAACCAATGTTATTCTGTTGAATCCATTAAACCTCCAAATGAAATAAGTAATTTTATTATCCCCATTTAACAGTGAAGAAACTGAGACAATGAATACAGAATGCACCCCAAATCATACAGTTACTCCTCTGAGCATTCTGAGCCACTGAACTATGCTGCCTATATTTAAGTTAATTTGTCTTAAATTTAATATTTCAGCAACACACTTAAAACCTAAAACCAGATATTTTTATTCCATATACATTTCTTAAATGATATTTAGAAAAATCTGCAGGGTGGGGTGGCACTGTCTGTAATTCCATTGCTCTGCAGGCATGAGTTCGAGGCCAGCGTGGGCTATGCAGTGAGTTCAAGGCCAGCCTGAACTACATAGAGAGACCTTGTCTCAAAAAACAAACTATATTTCTGAACTAAGTTATTTTTTGGAATAGAAAGCATTGCACATAGATTTTAGGACATGGTTTCTTTCATTTAGAATAAACTCTGAAGATATTTATTTTTCCGTCAAACAGGTAGACATCTTTGCTATGGCCCCATTTGAAATTGTGGTAAAATATAAAGAATATAAACCTGTTTTAATCACGTTTTAGGCACTGTTCAGTTTTTATGCATCCACTAATCATCATTTATTTCCAGAACTTGGTCATTATCCCAAACAGAAACTCAATACTTATCTTTAAACAATCTTTACCTCAACCCCATCTCTAGTAATCTCTGTTGTACTTTCTGTCTAAAGGAATTTGTCTACTCTTGGTACCTCATATGATTAGAATCATACAATATTTGTCCTTTTGTGTCTGGCTTATTTCACTGAGCAGTGTTTTCAAGGTTCATCCGTTGTGTAGCATATAGCAAAATTATAGTCCTTTTTAAGACTGAATATTATATTATATGTATAACTATATGCCATGTTTGTTTATCCATTCATCTGTTGATTAACATTTAGGTAGTTTCCTCCATTAGGTTCTTGTGAATAACTGTATACAAATATCTTTTTTGAGTTTCTGCTTTAAATTCTTTGGAGTGTATACCCAGAAATAGAATTGTTAGATGATATGGTAATTTTATAATTGACTTTTTTTGTGGAACCACCAAACAATTCTCCTCTGTGGCTACAGCATTTTCATTCCTAGCATTTGTGCACAAGTCTTTCAAATTCTTCATAGCCTCATGTACACCTGTTATTTTCTATTTATTTATTTTTATAATAGCCATCCTAGGGTGTTTTCTAACATTAACAAGCAGTTGTTCAGTTCTGCAGATACCATCATGCTTGTTCAATAATTTCACTAAATTTTGACAAGTACCTGAACTCAGCATTAGACTTCAGAGACTTACTGGTTCAGTCCCACGAGTCTGCCTCTACTTCCAATTCCAAGTGCTAATTCCAGGTCACCTGTAACTCTGCCCCATCACTCTAAATGGGGAGTTCCCATGATTTTCTCCTCTAGTTTTATGATTTTTCTGGAATGGCTTACTCACAGAGCTCAGGAAAACATTTTACTTACATTCTTTGTTCATTATAAAGGATGCAACTCAGGCCGAGGATTTAGCTCAGTGGTTCCGGCGCCTGCCTCACAAGCACAAGGGCCTGGGTTTGATCCCCAGTACCAAAAAAGAATATAAAGGGTACAACTCAGGAACAATAAATGGGAAGAGATGCATAGTCAAAATATTGTTGGGGGTGTGCAGAACTTCCATACCCTATTTGTATTTCTCCTTCTAAGAAATTATAGATGTATTCATCAACCATAAAGCTCTCTGTTTCTGTTTTTGAGTGTTTTGGTACATACCTATAATCCCAGCACTATCGGAGATCCCAAATTTGAACTCAGCCTGAACAGTTTAGTGAGATGCTGTCTCAAAAATAAAAAATAAAAAAGGCCTGGGGATGTAAAGGCCCTAGGTTCAATACCAAGTACCATCAAAAAGAAAAAAAATTGAAAATAGAAATTCTGTCTCCAGTCCTGGCCTCCTCCCCTTCCTAGAGGTGTGAAGTGATGTTAAAAGTTTCAACTCTAATAATTTTATCTTTCTTGTGCCCAGCTCCATCCTGAGATGACTTAAGGGGCCTAATCTAAATTACCTAATTAGCATAAATGCACCTGTAATGGAAAGGGTGTTAATTGCAAGTAAGAAAGTGTACTGAAAAAGTACCAAGGATTTTAGGTGTCTTGTGCCACAACTGGGGACAAAGACCAAGCATATTTGTGGCCTACCACAAATTCATACTTCACTGTGACTCAGACTTGCATTTCCCTAATGACTACTGATTTAAACATTTTTTTCAGTGCTGAGAATCAAATCCAGGGCCTTGCACATGCTAGACAAGTGCTCTGCCACTAAGCCATATCTCCAGCCTCTCACTGAGCATCTTTTCATCCATTGGCCGTTTATATATCTTCTTTGGAGAAAAGCGTGTTCAAGACATTTGCCCTTTTTTTTGAATTGAGTTGCTTGTTATTTTGTTGTTAAATTGTAGGCAACTCTCTCCCTGCCTCCCCTCTTCCCTCCCTCCTTCATTCCCGCCCTCTATACTGGGAAAGAACCCAGGGTCTTGCACATTCATTACATCTTCAACCATTTTTTATTTTTTATTTTTAAGACAGAGTCTCATTAAGTTTCCCAGGCTGGCCTTGAACTTGTGATCTTCCTGTGGGCCTCAGACTCCCCAGCAGCTAGAATTACCAGCATATGCCATTGCACCTGGCTTTTGTGTTTATGCAACAGGAAACTGTTTTGATTATAGTAGTTAATAAAAAGTTTTGGAATCAGAAGTATGATGCCCATCTTGTCCTACCTGTTATGAGTTTTATAGTTTTCACTCTTACATAATCTTTGATGACATTTTTTTGTATATGATGTTATTAGTCCAACTTCATTCTTTTGGAGTATATATCGAGTTTCCCCAGCATGACTGTTGAAAACACAGTCCCCTAGTCATTTAATAGTGTTAGTGCCCTTGTTGAAAAATCATGTGACCATATATGTGAGGATTTGTCTCTGTGCCATGGCTCCAATTATTAAAAATAGGACCTATATTTTTGTAGGTATATAACAGATATTTTTAAATAATGTAAACATGCAAGCATTCAGATAATAACAAGAAAAACAAATATCACCAAAAATGACTTAAAGCACATATTTATTATAGATATGTAAGTGTGGTTTTCTGTGGCAGATATTTTTATAATCGATGAACAAGCTTTTCTATATAGTAAGAGATATAATATTTTTATTTTAATACTGAACTAATATTTCTCTGACAAGGAGAGGCTGAACTAGGAAAACCTACTTTAAGTGGTAGCAGAATTTTTTTTCCTGGATGTTGCTTTAAAAATTGGTAAGATAAATTCTTTTAAGTCCTAGCATTAAAGTTAAAAACAGTGAAACAAAATCAATGAGTACTACAAAACATATAACTTCTACAAAGCAGAAATATGTTTTTATAATTTAAAACAGCAGCAATTTCAGAGGATTTGCTGAATTAAAACTTTACACAATATATATACATAAAGTATCATCTCAGATGATCATGGATTTTTAAAACAGTATCTCAACCCCTAATCTCTAACCCAGACCTACTACTAAAAGTAGCTGGCCTAAAATATTTTTTACAACAATTTAAAAATAACACAAAAAAGAAATCTCCCAATTCTCTTGTGTACAAGCACAGGTTGCAATGTGCTGGCTTTAACTTTTATGTACAAAGAGAATTTTAAAATAAACAAGGACTTCATATAAATAATTGTTTTACTTGTTATTATGTGACCAAAACAAATTAAAATTAGCACTAACAATCAAAACATATCTTGATGTAACCAGTACATACACTCTTAATGACAAAGATGAAAAAAGAAATAAAATAGTCTACAAAAGCCACAAGCACCATGTTTTAGAAAGAGCACCAAGCAACACAAAAAGGCAACATATAAGAGGTAGTGTACCACCAGCTAAGATGTATATGCCCACTGGGGACCTGAATACAGCTTAGTGTTTGTGAAAATAAGACATATTAGACTGCGGCTTGCAATTTTTAGACAGAAGCATTGCACACTTGGGAGCATTAGCCAGTACTGCCCCACGGTGCTCTGCATCTCCAGCTGTCTAATGGGTACTTTGTTCTCAGTCAGAAAATAAAGGGTATCCTGAAGAATTCCATGTTTATAAATTTTTACTTCTAGGGAATTATCTAACAAAACTCAAATCAATAAACTTTTTAAAAGAATTAAATACTTTATCAATGAGAGTCCTTTAAAAATGCCTTTTCTCCTTTTCAGGAGGAAGTCTTTTCTTCCTGAGATTCTTTAAGCTTTAGCCAATGTCTTTATTCCATGCATTTCAAAATGACAGTATTTTTCTGTCTGTACTTTTTTTTTCCTTTGCAGCAATCATGACCAACAGCATGAAATTTCAACTAATCCAAAGACTTTAGAGAAAGCATACGGAACTGCTTTCAATGTAATACTTTCGTTCAGTTTTGAGATGAGGAAGTTTTTGTACTTCGATCACTGGAAGTTGATTAGGGTTAGGGGTGTGAAAAAGGAATTTTGCCTTATGCCAGCTGCCATCCTGAATCTGTAAAATAAGAACAAAATGCTTTCATACTTAACTGTTTTCATAAACAGTGATTCTCAGTAGACGATGCCCTTCAGAGAAAATGTATGTTCGTTTTAAAGATTAGTGATAATGCATATGAAATATTTAGAATGAAAAGTAAGAATTACTATTAATAATTGGAAATACAGGCTTATTCCATCTTTATGACATTGGTTTTGATTTTTCACAACCTGATGCTCATGCTAGGCTTTTGCTTCTGTTATCATAGGGTCACTGGATCAGATATGAATTAAGGGGCTGTTATATTCTTAATGAGTAACACTCATCTGTTCTCTTTTTCTATATTTGTGGCTGATTCTTTAGGGTGAATATTTTTCTTAGGTGAAAAGGAATGAGTTATCTCAATCTCTGTACTTTGTGCAGGATAAAAACAAATCTCTTGAATCAGTTGTGGTTAAAGTATAATTAGCTTGATTTATCTTTTAGTTTTCTTTTTTTTTTTGATCCAATAGTTCTCCATTTATATAGTTTCCCTCTTTTCTCTCTTCTTTCTAGGTCTTTCTGTTTTCATATTACTGTATGTTCTACAGTTTCTGATAAATTCTAGGGAACAGTAATGTGTTATAAAATGTCCCATTATAAAGACTCAACAAGACAAAATAGGTAAATACAACTGACTAGTTTTGTGGAGGTTTTTATTCAGAGATTTGTTCACTTACTCTCACCACATTATCATATGAATTTTAAAATTTGAAGAAACTAGAGATTTCTTAAAGTTTAAATTACAATTTTTGAAGCTAAGACTATTGAAGCTCACTGAAGATAAGTTGTCTAATGTCAGAAATCTGGTGTGATAACTAGACCTACAGTTCTTTGTGTAAGACACTGCCAGATTCATTCATTAAGTCTTTTAAGCAACATTTATTGAACACTAAGTACATTTAGCACAACTGTAATTTTCAACTCTTTTACAGTGCTGGGAAAATATAAAGACAAATAAATTGGTCCTGGCATCTGAATTCTAGCAGCCTATAAATCTAGCTGGAGAGAGAAGAAACATAAACAACCATCATACAAGACCATATAAGGAGAGCTCAATATAAATAATATAGACAATGAGTGCTGAATTCCTTGTTTTTAACTAGAGTTGTCAAGACATGCATTATGAAAATTGATAACTTAGATTTAGTAGGTCTTAAAGTCTGCCTGCCTAAAGTTTTTACTTGGCTTGAAATGTTTAGGGCATTTCAGAGAAAAGGAAAGGCATAAAGAAAACAACAGCTCCCCCCACCAAAACAAACCAATCATTCTCAATCAATCAATCAAACAAACAAACAAACAAAAATAGATGGGAAAGTACATGGTGGTTGTAAAAATCAGCCTAACCTGGGGGGTTAAAGACACAGACTTTGGCCTGGAACTAATTTTAGTAGAAATCTAGATCCTACCCCTTTCTTCACAAATAAAATGGGAATAATAAAAACCTATCTCCTAGGTGGATAAAACGAGATTTCAAAGAAAACCCTTAGCAGTACAGGCTTGGGCTTTGAAACTGCATGTACCTGAGATTGTTTTCTTGTCCCTCCACTAATGAGGTGTATGACTTAAGCAACTCATCTCTTTATGCTTTCGCATTTTTACCTATAAAATGGGGCTAATAATTTATTATGCTATTATGATGAAATAACACAATGTATGTACCCCATGGCCACTTATCAAATAATAAACAATCAATAAATAATAATAGGAGTTGTTGCCTTTACTATTGTATCAAGTAGATAAATTTGACCATAATTTTAGATAGTCAATAAAAACCAAAGCTGGAAAAGTAGATTGGTGCCTGGTTATCATGAGTGCTGAATGGAGTTAATAAATTTGGATTGTGTCTCAGAGTACTAATGAGTCAACGATAAGTTTCTGGAAAAGATTATAAATATTACCTAAACTTTTTGGTGATATTGATCTTTTTAAATATAGAGTGTAAGAGCTATATATACATATTTATTATATACTTTTGACTAGTTATGATATTTCAAATATCAAGCACTATTTGGGAATGAAATGTTCTGAAAAAGTAGAATCTTCTGGAAATGGAAAGAGGTGCTAAATAAATCCTGGGCTTCACAGGACAGTAAGTTCTGTATATAAAGAGGACAGCTCTATTCTCTCTAATGAGAGTTAGCAAACTCTTTCTCTAAAGGGTCAGATAAATAATATTTTAGGTTTTGTGAGTCTCAGTCTCTGTTACATGTCCTTAATTCTGCCATTTTGGTATCATATTAGCCATATAACAAATATGTGAATGAGTGTGGTTGTGTTCCTATAAAAATTTATTTATGAAAATAGGTGGTAAGCCAGATTTAGTATATTGATTCTAACTTGCCAACACCTGTTCTATAAAACAATGTCTTAAAAAATAGGATTTTCATGATATTATTTGATTTTAATAGTAAAAATGAGCTATAATTTACTGAGTAGTAGGGCCATCTACAGTTATATCCATATTTAATTCTATAAGAACTGGCAAAATGAAAGAATACTGACATCTCTATAACTAATCCTTCATGCAGTAATGAAATATAAAATCATAATGTGAAAACACACCAAAGGATCTGCTTTTCTATATGTTGTACCTTCTTAATGTAATCTAGATATATTTCTATTCTATAAATATATGCATCCAGATATATTTATTTCTTATGGGGAAAACTTACATATTAACACTTATTTTACATGTAAAATCCATGAATAATCAATTGGTATAACAAAAATTGACATGTTGTAAACAAGTGACTGGGTCTAGAAGATATACTGTAATAAGTCAGACACATTAAACTTACTGTTCTGTATCCAAAGATTGTAATTAAACGCTTACTCTTATTGTTTTGATTTTATAGTTTTCTCAATTTTAAATTGTTACACTGAATAATCAAAAAGTGTTGTTTTCTTACCTTGCAGTCATCTAAAAGCACTTCAGGTTCAAGTAGAGTGTTTTCTTCAAAAATCTGACCGTTCCATCCTTTGAAAGCAACAGGCAATCCTGGGCCACTTGTTTGTTCACTTGTCCACCTTGGGGTGTTCAGACAGTGAATGGTGATGACATGGGTAGCTTCTGAGCTCAGTAAATGAAGGAAGTTCATCTGGACTTTCTCAACTCCAAACTCCAGCTAGTGTCATAGAAACAATATGTAAGTTATACGATGTGGCAATTTAGAAACTTCTAGTTTGGGGAAACTTAAAGAAAGTCCTTGAGAGGAAGCCAAAGAAAGCTACTTTTCTTAGAATTTAAATGCTAGTCATTGATGTACTGGTAAGTATCTAACCACTCGCTCCTGGGAGAAAAATCCCTGATTTATAGCACTGTCTGATTTCCATGATGGAAACACTTCCAGCATTGCTGGATTTAGACTACCTAGGTGATGTCACTGCACTTGGAGTGTGAAGAGGCAGTAACAATATGTTCTTTTAAGCCTACATAGCTGGCTTCACCTTACCATTAGTCTACTACATATAGTAAAATAAAGAATACAATTTTATATTATTACCTAAAATGCAGCAACAATTTGTTTTAGATTAGTGCTTTAATAGTATTTCCCCATTAAAAATCTGAAGTTTTGTGCCTTCATTTGAGATTTTTTTTCTGTGTGAGTTTCCATAGATAGTCTACAGATTATAATAATGAGCAATTTTAACTATGAGAGTCCTCATGGACAAGGACAAAATCTTATTATTTGTGTTTACAGACCCTAAAGAAGTTCTAGTCATACAATGAGTTATCAAAAATGTTTATTGAATAAATCAATGAATTAATGAATAAGTATGAATTAAATGAACATTATAGGAGAAAATTAGAGTTAAGGGGTCTGATTACATATTTTCAAGGCTTGGACAGAAAAGTAAATTTTTTGATAGCTCTAGACATTATTATCGTTTTAGCGTTACTCAAGCAAGGATATAACCATATTATAAATGAACAGAAGTAATTTCTGCTGAGGAATTTATATTAATCTCCAAGCCTAAAATTAGAGAAGTGTCAGTTATGAGATAATGGAAAAAGAAAAAAGAGGCAACAGCAAAAATAACAAATCCTAGGAAAAGAGAGGAAAGGCAAAGAAGTGCATAAAAATCTACACATGGAAGGATAATCATAAAACTCATTATACTTTAAAAAATTAAATTCCTTCATTTTTACATATCAGAAACGTGAAATATTTTGCCTTCTGAGCTTTGGTTTCCTTGTTGGTAAAGTAGGGTATTACACCAATCTGATAGGGTTGTTATGAAGATTAAAAGTGACAAATTAATTCACCTAGTCTAGTGCCTGCACAGTCTAGGCCCTCTGGTGGCTTGCAGTTTCACTCCCTTTGTAGCACTAGAATACTGAGGTTGAGTTTATGGACAGAAGAAATGGAGCAATTGATTCAAATCATGGAAGGAACTGGAGTATAGCAGCTCCTTTACTGTTCCTATCTACTTTGCACAATATCCCTCTACTTTCCAACTCCTTTCTATGATAAGCCAAATGAAAGTCCTGGGCCAACTTCCAGAGGAGTGGGATGATCACACAGATATTTTGGATGTTGGACTGTCATGCTGCTTTTTGTTACAGGTACATGGTTTCCCTAGGAATGGAGGAATCCTTCTGTCTCAGGATAATAATGATTAATATCTATTGAGACAAAATAGTGGAGCACCTGGTTAATAAAGGTGAGGGTAATTCAAAAATAAGCAGCTATAAACTGTATTTTAGCTGCCGCCTTTTTCGGGTGGACAAAACATACAATAGGCACGTGTATCGGTTCTTTGCCAATGAGAAAAATATTCTTGGTAATATGCCAAGGTAGAAATGTAGTTTTGATTTCAACATATGTTCTAAGTAGAACTAGGTTTTAGGTTTTATAAATAGCTGTTATAACACCCAATGTTAAACTAAACTAACTTACTTTCATTCTAAATAGTTGATTTGTAGAACTACACTTGAAAGAAATTTTAAGTAATCATTTTTGTTTTAGGGAGATTATGATGTGCCCAATCACCAAAAATAAAGCTTTTGTGGCAAGCTTTTAGTGATGATGATGTCATTTTCAGCAAAACTTAGGTAACTGATTACTGATTAGCAATATTGCAGCTGCTTAGGGATTTTCTAATATATGTGCATGTATAAAAAACATAACATACATTACATCATTTTTAAGGAATTTAAAAAGTATGACCAGTAGAATAAGCCAAGCTGGAGATGAAGACATGGAGGGAGGGAGGAAGCAAGAGGGGGACAGGGATGAAAACAAAAGAATCAAGATGTGTTAAGTACATGTACCAACTTCCCATGATGAATATTATCATGTACTGCACACATGTACAAATAAAATTAAAAAAGGAAGAACCACAATGAGGATGTCATGATTTACTGTGATTTAAAAAAAGCATTTCTCATAGATGATAGATCATGAAGGACACCTATTTTTGTTCTTAAAATCTGTAATTTTTTTTCCAGTACTAGGCATCAGACTCAGGACTTTGTGTTTGCCTGGCAAGTGCGACACTGCTGAGCTACATCCCCAGCCCTTAAAATTTATAATTAAAGTGACAAAATGTTAAAAAGAATTATTTCAGATACTGTGTAACATACTCTCTAAAATTCATGACATACCTTTGTCACAGAAACAGGAGATAAACATGTCTGGCCACCAGCACTAAAATTGCAGAAAACTTCAATGGCATCTGAAGGGCATCCAAGATTTGGATCAATCCAGTATTTTCCTGGCAATTTATAGTAAAACAGGAAGTAACTTAGATGTCATGCTAAACTAAGATATGTATCATAATACATACTTTCTTTTTTTTTTTTTTGTACCAGAGATTGAACTCAGGACCTTGTGCTTACTAGGCAGGCTCATCACCCCTGAGCTAAATCCCTGGAGTAATACATACTTTATATATTACCATAGTCATCTCTATTAAAATACTTAGAAGATTATAAACGTATTTACATTTAATGAATGAATGAAAGTTGTAAGCATTGTGTAAAATGGGTACTGAAAATGGTATATTTCACATATCTATCCATTTAAGGGTATTTCATAATTTTAATTAAGATGATAGAATGGCTGAATTTATTGCTTCATACTATAGATAAGAACTAATTAAAAGTATTATAAAGTTAAATACTTAATTAAAAAGTTGAAGTTAATGAAGTACAGTATATTTGTGAAGTTAATGTGTGTATATTTCTCTTTATACTGTCAGAAGTATAATTTAAATATTTTGTTTAAAGTAGAAACAAGTTCCAATTGGGCATGATGGCACATGCCTGTAATCCTAGCACTCCTGGAGGCTGAGGACCTACACAGTGAGACCCTTTCTCAAAACAAAACAAAACAAAACAAAACACCAAAAGAAACAAAACAACTTCAGTTTATGAAAAATATATCTTTATAGGTAATACTGATTATTAAAATAAAATGACTAAAACACTTTCTGTTTTTAGAAAGAAAATGTACAATGAAATGGTCATCATTTTTGTGCTTTCTGCTTTAGATTCCCAACTGAGAAAAACTAAAGTCTCTATAGCTATTGTAAGCCTGCCAATTTTTGCCTCCATTGAGTGCTCAAGAGCATAAAATGGAACCTAAAATCAAAATACTCAGACTGAGAAACATTACACTAACAGAATGAAAGAGGTAGAATATTGAAATAGTACCCTATTCTAAACACAAATGACAGGAGATTGTGGGTGAAGCAGGCTTGCTTTCTTGCATTAAAAAGGAAAGGCATCTGCACTACAACTTCTATATCTAAACCTTTCCCATAAAGCAAATTCGAGGGAAAGTAAAACATTTAAAGGAATCTGTATTTATATAGTAGGACTGTGCAATACTGAGGATACTGGAATATGTTAATCTTCTTTATTATAACAATGGAACTCATAAATTAGAAAGTTTTAAGTGCTGTGGTTTTTGAAGAGATATTAATTTTGTCAGACTAAAACAGTATGAAATTTATGATATTCCCCTCTAATTAGAGAAAGTTAGATAATGTATTGCCATGAAAAATATTTCTAATAAATAGAACACCCCCCCACAAAAACACAAGACAATCATTTTTACAATAGGTAGAGATCCTTCTCCATTCCTCTTTACCCCATAGCAAGGATTTCTCTAGTTTATCCTGGACTTCCTCTGAAATCCAAAAACATCCTTGACTGTTCTCCTCTTTGTTAGTCTACTAACCACAGAAAAGCATACGTGCTGAATTGATAGCTCAAAGGGTAGGTAATGTCATCTATTCCAGTAATTTTCAAATTTTAGTGTGTGTCAAACCATCTGTCAAAACTGTAGCTGGGCCCCAACTTCAGTGAGGCTGATTTATCAAATCTGGGGTGTGGCTAGAGATTTGGAACCAAATCTAATTCTGGTCTAGGGACCACATGTGGAGAACCATGAACTATTGATATCTGGAAGAAAAGGATAGAGGACATCTATCCTTCGTTCCTTTTCAGCAGAAGTTTTAACATTTTACAGTTTATAGATTCTGGATTTTTAGAATCTCATGCAAGCTTCCAATCTTATCTAAGGGAGTAAACATGTTTTATCATTCTCCATTTCTTCTAAGAAATACTTTCCTTCTACTATGTTAACTAATCCATTTCTTTAAATGAAAAGTTTTCCATGAAGCAAACTCTCATTGTTGTATGGGGTAGAATGTTTTGGATTCAGGCATTATGTTATACAGTGGTACACTAGTATGAGCTTCATAATTGCTTTCAAGTATGATGAGCTAAAAACTGATATTATAGTATATTTTTTGTGTGCCTAAATGTACTAACTCAAAATTGGCTCTATTCTGAGTATACTGTTTCCTTTGTAGCCTTTTCAATTTCTGCCATAATCTCTATAGCATCGTACATGGAGGTGGAAAGTTGTCTTTCTTGTCACCTCCAAACTAGTCTCATTTCTCTCCAGAAATGTTGCATGTTGAAATTGCTATCATGTTATATCACAAATTAACCCTTCCTGGTGCAACTACTGAACATTTTTCTTTGAAGATTTCAGCTTCTGGTTTGGTATCACTTTCAGAAAATCTATTTACGACCCACTTCTTGGTAATCTTAAATTCGCATGAATATTTTTCTACCAATAATTTTGTATTTTACCCTGTCTCCAAACTTTAACCATTAACTTTCAAAGCTATATCTGAGCCTTTGTTATTACCTACAATAGCATCTCTTCCAGAATTTCATCTTCTTGTTCTAATTCACTTTCTCTACTGACTTAACTCCAATAATTTTTTAATCCCCTTGAGACCTATCATTTATGATATTATCACTTTTAATGGTCCTTATGGTCATATATTCACTTCCCCTCTTACCTAGCTCAAAACCAATAGTCCTTTACTATTATTCGTGGTGTTTTGTGAACTTGTTACCATAGATTGTGTGCTAGACACTGTATATTTGATATTATTTATGGTAGTAATTTGAGCCCTGGAATAATGTTTTCTCTTATGGAAAGTCTTTGTTTCAGCCAGATATATGGGGACACCTATAGTTTGGACCCATTTTAGACCCATTTTAACCTAAGTTCAAAGCTTAAAGTTTTCTGAGCTCTGTAGGCTACCAGAGAGCCTAGAGTGAGGCTACCCTCTGTAAAGTGAAGCTATCTTCTGTATGCGTGTGTTTTCTTGTAGTTTACCCCTAGAAAGTAGCCCTTTGAAAGCCTAAATTCTTGCCTTTAGTGGGCCACAGATTATAATTTTTGACCTGTATCACCATGAAGCTGCCAAAAGCATTGCATTTTGTTAGCTATTTTGTTTTTAATATATAATATATTATATTTATATAATTAAACTTATTTAAATTTTTTACTGGTAATGAATTACTGGTAGTGGAAAGTCCTTAGCTCCATTATTTTTTCTTAAAATCTGATGAGGTTTTAATGATTACCAAAAACTCTTGGTGAATGTCATCAGTGATGTCTGCATTGTTAAGTCCAATAGCCTTTCTTAGTTTTCATTTCACTTGACATTAATCCAGTTATCTCTTCATCCTACAAAAATTTTCTTCATCTAGTTTTCCTTCTGTCTTGTTGATACCTCCTTAATTTTCTTTGGTAGTTCCCCCTCATCTCCCTTATCTCTAAACATTGGAGAACCCTAGTACACAGATTTTAGACTTCCTTTTTTTCCTTACCTACTATGTAATTAATCTTAATCAAAGTTTTAGGTGCCATTTATATGAAAATGACATCATGATTTTTACCCCAAACCAGAATCTGTCTTGACCTCTTACTAGAATAGCCAACTATCTACTTGACAATCCAATAGATATCTGAAACTAAATATATCCAAAGTTGAACTCATCTTTTGTTCAAATTCCCTTCTATAGAAATCATCAACTCTATTACAGCAACTGTACCCATCCATAGTACAAAACCTTACAGTTATCTCTTACCATTTTATTTCTTTCATATCTCACATCTAATTTATCACAAAAGATACTGGCTGTACCTTAAAGCCTATAAAAATTTGGACCATTTTTAACTACTTTCCCTGTCATCACTCCAACCCATCATGATCTCTCCTGGATTATTTTAGTAACCTTTTCAGTGATTTCTCTACTTCTATGCTTTTCCTCATATTTGCAACATATCAACCAGGGTAATATTTTAGACTTCCAAGTCAAATTATGTTATTTCTTTACTCGATTTTCAGTGACTTTTCAAAAACAGACTTTTGAGGACTCTAAGGGGTCCTACATGATCTAGTTTCTTAATCTTTCTGATTTAATTTTCTATCACTCTCATGCTTAGGCATTCTCTTCCAGCCACATTGGCCTTCCTGCTAATGCTAAAACATTGTAACTACACTTTTGGGGTCAGATACTTGACCTTGGTTCTTTCTGCCTAGAAAGCTCTTTCCCTAGATTTCTCTAGATTTCCCTAGATTTTAGTCTTTGCCTCCTTCTGATAGAACTCAAGTGTCACTTTCTTAGAGATGCTTTTTCTGACCATTCTCTTTGAAACCACATCTTCCATTCCATTTTCTATCATATTCTCCTTCTTTGCTGTTTTATTTTTCTGTATAGCACATATCATTTCTAGTGCTGAAATATTTCAGGGCATAAAGACCTTTGTAATACTCCATAATCTATATCATTAGCTTTTTTCTGCTTTAAAAAAGGAAATTTCATACTGATTTTACAAGTATTGAAATGTCTTAGTTCCTTTTGATTTTTTGTTTTGTTTTGTTTTGTCTTTTGAGACAGGGTCTCACTATGTAGTTGAGACTGACCTGGAACTCACTATGTAGCCCAGGCTGGTCTCGGACTCACAGTGATCCTCCTGCTCAGCATCCTGAGTGCTGGCATTATAGGCGTGCAACACCACGCCTGCTTCCTCTTGATTTTGTAGTTTCACTTTATATCCTCAAATACAGGAAAAAATTAAGCTTAGAATTGTTATAGGCAGCTATAGTTGTAAATATTATTTTAGTTTTTAAATTAATCTAGGGCAAAAATATCTAGAAGTTAAGTATCTTACTAATGTAAATAAAATGAGTTTTTCATTACATTTTTAGAAGGGAAATAGACATTTTTGATAAGGATATACAAATGTGTGTGATATATGTACCTAGATACATGAAATTAAAAGAACTATTCTTTATCTTATAGTATGACATAGTTTTTTTCAAATCAGCATATGGTTAATGTGTTGGAATCAGAGGTTTTTTTTTTTAGCAAAAATGATATGTTTATAGTACAATTGACCATAGACTATATAGAAATTAAAATAAAATGACATATTGTAGCAGAATTCCTCCTGTTTCAATGATGTGTTCCTCTTGGTTAAAAACCTTTCCTTGATTATTTTTCCTTAAATTCATTTGTGCACCTCTGATTAATGAGTTCCAGATATTGGTAAAGGATGAAAATTTCTAAGAATAACAAAACACTCCATCTTCATCCTCAGTGATTTTCTAGAATGAGGAATTTATATTATTTGTGCAAAAATATACTGTTAAAATTATGGTGGAAGGAATTCTATGATTTCCTTCTTAGCTTTATCAACTTCGATGTTCCTAAATCACTAATTTCAGCTTTATCTAACTTAATTTGAATATGAATATGCTATATTTCAAATACAAAGCATAAGCAAATGCTACACGTAGGGATAGATGATATCAGAAGTATATCTTGCTCTGAGAATATTTTGTTTTTAATGACATAGCTTTTGCCAGTGGTGTTTTTTTTCCCTCATTGAGTTTATTGGTACATTTTAGGTGTTTTTAAAAAATGACCAAGATTTGGAATGAAAACATTACAATTCTCAAATACAGTGAAATGTTAAAATGAAATTAGACATCAGAGATTGCAAAAACAAGAACATACCATCTGATACTTTGTGTTCACAGTTGAGCAAATCTTTGCAGATTCGTGCTGGGTTATCTCGTGTGCCAAGAGGATTCCTGATGCTGTGCAGTAAATTACTAAGGTAGTTCAGAGTTTTGAATATCTCTGCACTGTGGTCGATTAAAGTCACTTCAGTATTCTGGTACCTCTGCCAAGTCATCATAAGAATCAAATAAGCAATAAAATCCTAATGACTGTCATGGATCAGGACAGAAGGAAAAAGTGTTCTTAATTATGTATAGTGAGTTGGGACCAGACTATAGAGAATAGGTTATATTTAAGCATGGGCTGTGTATATACTTTATTAATTCAATTCTCAATAAGATTAAATTCACACTGAAAAGTTTAGTTTTCAAGCTGATATAAGACTTAAAGAATTATTATGCTTGCTGTTTAATGCTTTTAAAGTATACATATAATAAAGCTTAAATAAGATAAATGAATAGCGATGATAGATAGATCCCATCTAAATAATGTGCTTTTTTTAAAGAAGAAATTTCTAAGTATTTTCTTTAATAATACCAAATTCCTTATAAATAAGTCCTTTAAGAATATTACATTTAAAAGACATTTCCTTATGAAATGTTCTATGCATATATTTATGTTGAATTATACTTTGTTCTTGAAAATGGTTTCATATTTTCAATCTGTTTCAAATACAGTCTTTAGGATAATGCCACATTTTGGCCTTTGAAAATTCCTCTGTTTATCTTGGGTTATATTGAGATTGCCAATATAAATAAAGCCAGATATATTACCTCCATCTGTAGGGCAGTATTTGATTCAATCAAGGCTTGAATAGCAGCATTGATATCCATTTGTTTCTGTGTAAAACAAAACCATTTGAGATCAGCATTAAGATCAACACTGAGTGCTCTAAAGTAAAGACTGTACATTCCGAAAGCACCGCTGTTAAAGTATATTAGACTTATCTGAAAGAGCTTTGTAACTCTGAAGTTTAGACAGATCTTACAGATATTGCCTGGTTATCTGAAAGGACCATATGCTGCCTTCATCCAGATCTCAAAAGGTCTCCTAATTAAAATAGGACCAAAGTCTAGAATTCTCAAATGAAAAACTATTTGTGTATGCTGCATAAAAACACACATACACCATTACTCAATATGGAAGAAGAATGAAACATGATCTTCTCACTTAATAAATTGTAAAGTGAGGAATAAATAACTGTAGTAAATTTTAACAGTTAAAATCTTGGAAGGAAACAGAATAAAATAGTACTGTCCTGAGGTAGTCACCACATTAGTTTAATCTGATACTTCTGCGGTCTTAAAAACAATTTCTGAAGTTGGAAAATGTACCATTAGTCCCAAAAGAAATAATACAGCATGAACCCAATCTGTTCCTGCATTTAATAAAAGATATTTTTAGTGAAAAACTCAGCATAACCATTAGTAAAAAGTCTTTTTGTAATTTTTTTGAATAAGCTCGGAAACTAAGAAGCATGAGTTGGGAGAACATTCTGGGAAATGAAGAGAAGGTTCTGTATAAGTAAACGAAGCAATCTAATATCTTTCAGAATGATTGTACTGCTGATATATCTTTTTACTTGGAGGTCCATACAATAGACAGGTTTAGCAGGTCTGTCATAATTTATAGTTGTTAATCTAAAAAAACTATTTAAAATAATAGGACAATCAATAAAATGCACTCTCCTTTACCTTAACATGTGTTTTTCATATTGGAAAAAAATTGACTCATGCTGTATACATATATACTGCCAAATACTGTGATATATATTTAGGATAAAATGTCCTTGTGAAGTTTAATTTTAAGGGGTGATAGACAATTAAATCACCCCAAAATTTGTTGTGATGTATACTATGAAACAAAAGTGCACGTACCTATGAGAAAATTTAGGGAGTCAATCAAATTTGCACAATGTAAGAGGTTGGAAGGGATAAATCAGGGAAGGATTTCCTGAGATAGTGATAGTTAAAATAAAACCTGAAGCATAAATAAGAATTGTTAGGGGGAAATGAAACAGAGCTTTTCAGTCAGAAGTAACAATCATGCACAAAGGCCATAAGACATGACTTATTCAAGAAGCAGGAAGGGTTAACCTAAAATGTTCTCTGCAAGTTAAATAATTCTCATCATCTTGCTTGTGGAAATGGGAAAACTTTGGATAGGGGCCACACAAAAATATTGGCACTAAACATGGAATCTTGAGTGGAGAGCTAAACAACAGTCACTTTTATATTTCTATTCAGTCTCTTGTTGGTGATTAAGAGCATTAATTATAACATCTAGCTTAGTGGTTCTCAAACTCTTCAGAATCAGAACGTTTGGCACTTTTAAATATTATTAAACACTGTAAAGATATTTTGCTTTGTGATTTATATGCTACTTAAAATAGTAACATTAAATTTAAAACTAGGTGTGAATTACTGAAAATAACAATTAGTCCATTATATTTTAATATAAATTGTTTTATGAAAAATAACTATTTTTCAAAAAGAAGCAAGAAGGATGATTTTATACTTTTGTATATCCATTTAATATCCTGATTGATAAATAAATTCTCACATTTGCTTTGCCATTAAAGCAATTATGATATGTTACTTTATTTTTTGCAGTTCTGGAATTAAGCCCAACTTCCTTGATTTTATCCTCTTATATAACTCCGCTTGGCTACAAAATCTGAGACTCACAGAATGATAGCAGTATTGGTCAGAAGGTAAGTGTCAGTTTTAATGTAAGAGCTTTGTAAAGTTCAGTAGTCACAATTGTTCTCCTGCCATGAATAGTTCTCTTAGTATCTTGCCAATTATTTTTTTTTTTTGGAATTCAGTCCTTCAGTCTATAATGTGAGCAGCACCAAGTTTTTTGACTAATGCATTTTTGGTAGCTCATCATCTTTTTGCAAATCTAAGTCATCTTGTCGGAACCAAATGGGGTATGTATCAGCTCTCTGTCCAGACTCTAAAAAGGAGGAAATATCCTCCAGCTCATCACCACTTTTTAGGAAAGCTTGAGTAACTATGGACAGATCCAAGTTAAACTTTTCCATTAATTGCTGGATAAACTTAATAGCAGCTCCCATCTCTGGTGAAGAAAGTTTTGTTCTTCGTCTTCATCAGGCTGTGTTTCTGAGTCTTCTAGTGAGGGAGAATCATCATTACACATAGTTATGTGTACTTCAAAATCAGAACTCTCATTCACCACAACTTCCTCAATGTCCTGGGTGATATCTACAAGTATTTTTTTGATCTTTTCTTCATTTCCCCCCATCTCTTCCTTGACATATTTGTCTTCAGGCAAATCTGGAGTTCTCTTATTCTTTATTTCCTCTTTGGAACTTGATTTCTGTCCAGTTCATTGTGTATGTAACTTTAGTGTTCTTTAAAAAGTTGGCATTGTATCTGGTATGGTGGCACACACCTATAATCCCAGCACTTGGGAGGCTGAGACAGGAGGATTGCCATGGGTTTGAGGCCAGCCTGCACTACATTGTGATTAGCATTAACTACAGAGCAAGACCCTGTCTGAAAAACACCTCCCCAATAAATAAAAAGTTGGCATTGTAAGTAAAACTTGCAAAAACCAAACCAAACCAAACCAAACAAAAAACCAAGATAGCAAGGTTGAAAAGTGGTGCAATTTTATCCCAATGTCAATAAGTGGAAGGGGCCAAGTGATGCTGCCTGATGCCAAATGAAAGAAACAGAAGGCACCTTACCCCCACATATGTGACAGACATACTTTATTCATTTTCAGGAAAATATTTGCCAAATACTTATTCCTTCCATAATAAAAATGGTTAGTCTTGGGCCGGGGATTTAGCTCAGTGGTTCTCCTACCTGCCTTGCAAGTGCAAGGACCTGAGTTCGAACCCCGGTACCAAGAAAAAGAAAAGAAGAAGAAATGGTTAGTCTAGTTTGCAACTCAGTGACACAATGCTTTTACATGAGACAACAATCATATTTTTCCCATTAAATCACATATGTGATTTTAAAGATGTATAAGCAAGATTAGAGATTTTTGAAAAATTCATAAAAATGGGGGAGCAATGACCTCTAGAATTCTCTCTTCTATAAAAACAATGAGAAAATTGGCAAAATTATCATTAACTTTTTCATAATTATGGATATTATCAAAATACTTGAAGCAATATGGGGAGCATTCATTCATTTAAGAAAAAGTTGAATATAAGAGTAGAGATTAAACTATTATACAAAATTCATTAGCGGGTAGCAAGGAGTCAGTGTTTTGGACTAACCTTCTGTACTAGACCTCAAAAGACCAAAACAAACCAGAATAAAGTCTGTGCAATATGCATGTATAATCCAACTGAACTTTGAAAAGGGCCAGTTTTCTACAAAATAAGTGATTCCAGTCCACCTGAGGCCATGTAATAAGGAGGTCCTCTCTGAATTAACCCTCCAGAGAAAGTAACTTTAAAATGGCCAGCCTACTATTTATAATTCCTGCTTCCTTCATCCATTTTCTGCCTGTAAAGCAACCTCTTTTACTCAGCTTCACTCTATTTTACAGCATGAAATGCTGTCCAATTCTAGAATTGTATATTAGAGTCAATCAGCCTGCAATCACGGTGAAAACCTGGTAGGTATAGGAGGAAACAGATTTGGAGTTGCTTTAAAGCTTCATTTCCAGGACACTGACATTATTTAACCTTTCTTAAAGTTCTGTGAAGGACACTATTTGGAAGACTGTCTTTATTTTACCTGCCTCAGAAGTCATCCAATGCAAAAAACTTCTCCTAGGATCATTTTTCAACAACATTTAGAGGGAATCATCTAACTGTGTTGCTACTGAAGCAGTAGAAAGAAGGTAGAACAAACAGTAGGTTAACCAAAAAGCTTACAAAGAAAAGCTGGGGAATGGGGTGGATATAGAAGCTTTAACAAGCTCTGATATATGCCTGGGAATCTGAAAATTCTTGTGAATGAATAGGGCTGTGTGCATGCTCAAGGAACCTGAGAAGGCTGTAAGCAATCACTGGCTGATACTGAGGCTCTGTGACATTAGGAAGTGAAAGCTAAGGCATGGTTACTAAGTAACTGGTTGAGCACTGTAGTAGCACCCCATTTGCACAGACTTTGTTGGAAAAAACTGGTAGACTTAATTGGTTTTGGCTTTTCAGAAAATCTCTTGGGAATTCTCTAAAGAAAATTAGTTGACCACTAAGCCACTGATCAGACTTTAGTGCTCACACTTCAAAGAATATGGACTTGTATAATTGAGAAAAATCACTAAATAAACAATAATAACAACAAAGTCTGACTGGGGGCAAGAATCCAATTTCCATAGATGTCACATTGTATTTAAAATTTTCAGTATTGAACAAAAATATAGTAGGCCTTCTGTTTCTGTGGGTTATGTACCTGCAAATTCAACCAACTGTGGATTGAAAATATTTGAAAAAAATTACACTCTACTGAATAGCTACAGACCTTTTTCTCGTCATTCTGTAAGTAACGCAGTATAACAAATATTTACATAGCATTTACATTGTATTATATAATGTAAGTAATATAGAGATAATTTAAAGTGTATGGGAGACTGTACTTGGGAAATATGTTTAGATTATTATTTTTAATTAAATTGGTACATTTACTGTATTTAATATAATGACATTCATTGTTGGAAATTTGTACCTTTACATAATCAATATTGCTTCTTATTTTTCCCATTCCCCTTCCCTTCCTTCAACCCCTTCCTCCCTATCTGCAAAGACTTTGTTTCCATTATTTTTCATATTCTCATATTAATTCCATTCCTTTCTTTCCTTTCCCATACCTCTTCTTTTTTGTCCCTTTTCTTTCAATTTCATGTGATCCAT